CCTGCCACAATGCCTGGCTATTTTTTGGTTGCAGCCATCATCGTTGTTTGGCATGTCCGGGCTGGATTTGAACCCGCCACCTTAGGTGTATGTGGCTGTTGCCTTAGCCACTTGAGCCACAGGCGCCGAGCCGAAAGCAGATCTCTAAAGCAGTACTAGGACACCAGTGGCCAGCACAGGGGCCCTATGAGCTGGCAGCTGCCCAGGCTATGATCCAGATGCCCCTAAGAACCAGAACAAGGGTGACAACAAGGTCAGGAAAACAAGCTCGAGCTCCAGCTCAGCTGGTCAAGAGTTTCAGAGGCCTCTGCTGGGGTGGGCCAGGGCAAGATGCCCCACTGACAGGGCTGGTGGACAGCTCCTCAGAACTCAAACCTGCTCTGAGTTTCAGAGAGGGAAGCCAACTAAAGACTGAGCAGCCCAAAGGCCCCATTTTACAGGCTGGGTTTCTCCAAAGTCACCCAAGTGGGGTCAGGACTTGGCTCTGCAAACCCCAAGTGACCCCAAAGTCTCACTTGTACCAAGGCCAGTTTTCTCTGCCCCTGACAATTGGGCCTTGTATCTGAACTACCAAGTAGGAGGGACAAAGGACAAACATGAGGCTGCTTCCTCCTTGGCCGGCAGCTTCTCTGGGGCACAGAGGAATAACAGCAAGGGCAGCGAGCCAGAGGGAGGGTGGCAGGGCGGTCCCATGCTGAACAGACCCAAGCTCGGGTCCAGAAGAATGGTCCCAGCCCCTTGGGTCCTGCTCTTGCCCTGCTGGGGGGCGAGGCTATTTGCAAACCTCTATAGTTAACAGGGAGCACCTGGGAGGGAAGGGACAAGAAGAGACAAAGTGCTGTCTTTTTTTTTTCTTCTTTAAACTATTTTGAGATAAGGTCACACAGTCTGTGGCTCAGAAGTATAATCATGGCTCATTGTAGCCTTAATCTCCTGGGCTTTTTTGAGACAAGGCCTCAAGCTATCCTCCTGGGTAGAATGCTGTACATCACAGCTCACAGCAACCTCCAACTCCTGGGCTCAAGCGAGTCTCCTGCCTCAGCCTCCCAAGTAGCTGGGACCACAGGAGCCCACCACAACACCTGGCTATTTTTTGGTTGCAGCCGTCATTGTTGTTTGGCAGGCCCAGACTGGATTTGAACCCGCCACCTTAGGTGTATGTGGCTGGTGCCTTAGCCACTTGAGCCACAGGTGCCAAGTCGATCTCCTGGGCTTAAGCACTCCTCCTGCCTCAGCCTCCTAAGTAGCTGGGACTACAGGTGAACACTATCATGCCTATTTTTACATTTTTAAAAATAAAGATGGGGTCTTGTTATGTTGCCCAGGCTCCCTTCACTCTTAATTTCTTTCCTTTTTTTTTTTGAGACAGAGTCTCACTTTGTCACCCTCGGTAGAGTGCTGTAGCATCATAGCTCACAGCAACCTCCAGCTCTTGGGCTTAGGCGAGTCTTTTGCCTCAGCTTCCTGAGTAGCTGGGACCACAAGTGCTTACAAGTGCTTGCCACAATGCCCAGCTATTTTTCTGTGTAGTTTTCCCGGGGCCAGGTCCAAACCAGCCACCCTCGGTATATGGGGCCAGCGCCCTACCCACTGAACCACAAGTGCCGCCCACATTCTTAATTTCTAATAACATGTTTTCTAATTATGTTTTCCTTGTGCAAAATTAAAGCATATGTAAAGTACTGCTTTGGGTTTTAGACACATATATGTATACTGTTCTGTGTTCTGCTTTATTTAACACAGCAGAATGTTTTCTAGATCTTTCCCAGCTATAGTGGAGTCAGCTACAGCTCTCTCTTAACAGTCACCCTCTGTTCCCTGCTACACACAGACAAGAAGATGCCAGTTCTCCACCAAGAAGTGTTTAGAACATTTCTGAGTTTTGCCAGTACGGACCTTGAGGCAGGGACTCCCTGTGCCTGCCACTCATGCTCTAAACCAGTGGTTCTCAACCTTCCTAATGCTGCGGCCCTTTAATACAGTTCCTGTGGGTCACAACCCAGTTTGAGAACCACTGCTCTAGAATGTCAGGTACCTAGGCCTGCCTGTGTCTCCTTCCTTTTTTTTTTTATCAAGACACCAGTGTTGCCATGTGCAGGGAGCATGCCTGCAGGTCTTCACTTAGCCATTGGGATTTCTGGATGCCCACAATGGCCTCCTCTCCTGCCAAGGGCAGCACAGGGTGGGGACACAGCCTCTGTCCTGTGAGGGGTTCAAGCTTAGCACATCTCTGCCAGGACGCATAGCCTGGCACCTGGGGCTATACCCTGAACATGTGTTCTCTGTTTCTGTGCTGGGTTCTGGGTGGGCCTTCCCCAGGCAGAGAGGGTCCAGCTTCCAGCTGACCTGTCATCCACCAGAACCAATTGCCTGTCAGGCTCACCTGGCCACAGAGGCCAGCGGCTTCCCCAAACATCTCTAACTCCTTAAAAATGCTGCTTCCCCTCCAATGGAGAACGATGAGTCATCTACAAGTTGTTTTGAAGCTGCCACCTAGAACAATCACCTCTCTGGCCAGCCGGGAGGGTGAGCCTTCCGAGATTTCCTGTCCTAAGGCTGCTGAGTTCCCAGGCTAAGAAGTCTGTTGTTACTCAGAGACTTTTTAGAACAGAAAATGTGCATGATGACCCAAACAAACTCTCTAGAGTAGGCTCCACAGATGCCCTGAGGTCAGGGCAGGAACCCAAAGAGGTAGCTCACAGCTCGTCCATGCCCGTCCTCCTGGTCTTGAGGCCACCAGAATGATGCTCAACGGGCAGGGGGAAGGCCAAGCCTGAGCTCTGAACATGCCTGCTGGGGCCTGGTGACTTGGAGGGAGACGTGTGCTGTGCTTTGGCCCCATTACCTACCCCTGGAGGGGCAAGGCCCCCTGGAGGGGCAGGTGCCTTTGAGGACATTAGGTTAACCTGGTCACTAGTGTCTTTTTCCTTCTTGTTCCAACCCTGGACCTCAGCAGAACACTCAGACCCAGTACCTCCTCTGTGGACGGCTCACCTGATTCAGAGACCTTCAGCTCACAGTCCATGTAATCAAACATCTCTACGGTGAGCTGGAAGCTACAGAAGAGAAGGGGGGAGCAGTGAAAGGGGTCGGTGGACACAGTGGCCTGGCCCAGGACCCCTAGGTGAGGGTGAGGACACAGCTGTCAACAGCTAGTTCTGGTGAGTTAAACTGCCTTTGCAAAGGACAGGCCTGCTGACAAATATACCCCACCCCTCTAATGTCAGCCTCTTCCCCTGAGAGCATAGACTTTGAATGAGAAGGCCACAGACTCGCTGGACACCTGATGTCTAGGCATGAAGTAAGGTGAGGCCCAGCAGGGAGCCTGGGGGAAGAGGCCAGGCCACTCACCCACGTGGAGGCACTCACATGTTGTTGACGTCAGTGCCAGCCGCCTTCTCCAGCACCTCATCTGTCACCTCCAGGCTCGCAGGGAACTGGGGGTGCTGTGGAGAGAATGAACCGCCCTCAGCTGCAGCTGTGCAGGTGGCTCTCACACGGGGCCCCATCCCCTGCTCACACAGACCTGGGCTCTGGAGATGACCAAGGGGCTAGGAGGCAGGCCCAGGCAGGGAGGAGTTCTAGGAGCTTCAGGATGGGAAGATGAATGGACAAACCCACAGATGAGAAAGGTCCCACCCTCAATGTCCCAACACGTCCCCAGATGTCGCAGAGTAAAAATCCAGGGGGCCCTCAACCCCTCACATCCCACCTTGAGGTGGAAGGAGATCTTGGTCAGCAACAGTTTGGTGTAGATGTTCACCAGCTGTCCATATCGGTCGTGCAAATGCCCCTGTGGGAGGAGAGCCCGGGGTAGGGTCCCCTCCTGTGAACACACCCGGGGCCACGTGCCAGCCCTCCACGCAACCTGTCACCTCTTCACTCTACAAACATCCCCTGGCAGCCTCCAACCGCCCTCTTTGTCTCTAGCTTTCCCCCTTAATCTCTCTTCTTGTCATTCTTGCCAAAGAAACTCTTGTGGGTAGAGAGTTCTCTGAGTAGGGCACCAGGCCAGTTCCAAGCAGGGACACTTTATTAAAGTGCTGGTGCATGGCCTGTCCACGTCCTCCCCCTCCTCCTCCAACACCACATCCCCTCAGTCATGGCAGCTGGGCCTTGTCTGCAGGGGCACCATGGCATGGATGCTTCACTCAAAGGACATGGGTCAGTGCAGTGGTTCTAAATTTGGCGATGCCCTCCTGGGCCTTGGGCCACCCTGTGGGTTCCTGGCCCAGGGGCTGCCCTGCCCTTGTCCCTCAGCGGGATTCCTCCAGAATCAGGCCCATGCCACCCAGAGCACCTCTAACTCCAGTGATTCACATAGTGTATCCTGGACCCGGGTCCTTGGGGCTCGGGCTTTACTGCATCTGAGAATCATGCAGCAAATATGCTGAAAACAGACTTCCAGCCTCACTTCTAAAGAGCCAGGAGCCTGTGCCTGCCCACAGCTCTCCGACCACCACTGAGACACCAGGCTTGGGCTCTGATGTCATCACATTTCCCAACTCAGGGAGACTAAAGACTCTGGGTGATTTCTGGAGCTAGGGGCCCGAGAGCTGTGTGTGTGGAATGTCCTGTGGCAGGCCTGACTGCAAGGCTGCCATGCCCATCAATGCCACTGTCTCACCTGTGGTTGCCTCAAATAGCATCACCATCCCTGGCTTCTGCTCTGAGCGAGAGAGAACCTGGGTACCCACAGGGCGCTGCCATCCCCTCAGCCCTGCAAGCTGACAAGGTCCCTAAACTCCGAGCAGGGTCCTGACTAGACTCCAGGGTGCAGCGGCACCCCGGCTGCTGGCACCTACCCACAGATCTCCGACCTCCCGAATGTTGCTCCGGTACCGCTGGCAGTCATGTAGTACCTGCCATGTGGAGGACAGGGATGAAGAATCTAGGACCATGAGGAAGGGGTCCTGAGACCCTCACTCCCACAGAGATGGGAGGTTTGAGGTAGAGGGCAGCAGGCAGGGCCAGCCAGTCCTGCGCTATGGTGACATACACAGGGACAGGACTATGCATTTAAAGCAGATGCTGTTCCACCTACAGGGGCCTCCCACCCTCTGTACACTCACGTTGGGGTGTCCATCACGTAGGACCTTGTGGAGGACGTGGCAGAACTTCCAGCTGAGAATGGCACTGCTGGGCAGCGGGAGACCAATGGCATAGGACCAGAAGGTGAAGGCTCCCTTCTCGTGGTGTGTACCCAGAATGATGCCTACAGGGTCAAGGTCAAATGCAGGAGGCAAAGACACAAGTGCAGGGTGGCTGGTATTAGGCTACCACTGCTGAGGGCTCATGGGGGTCAGAACAAGACACAAGGCAAGCCTGTGTCCCAAGACTCTAACTAGACCAATAGTGGCATTTCTGTGGTGAGACTCAGAGCAAGGAAGGGGATAAGCCAGGTGTGAGGCCTGGTGAGGTTGAAGCCACAGAGGTACTCCCCACGTGGCTCAGGGCTGGGACCCCAAGGCCTCTACATGCTCCCACCCAGGCACAGGCAGAGGGATACGCCGGGCATGTTTCTCCTTCACAGGGGCCTCCTGGCTGTTGATGGCTTTGCTGATGCTGATGGCCTGTGTGGGGGAAGAAGGCAACATTCAGAAGCCCCCAGGCAGTCTTCCTGGGAGAGACAACCCAAAGGGGCAAAGGGCAACAACAGACCGAGATTCTGCTGAGGCTGACGGTAGGTACAGTGATGGAGAAGGGAGGACCTTCCCATGCTAATCAGACCAGGCCTCTGAAGACCCTTCCTCTACACAATCTATGTAGCTAGAACTATGACACCTGCCACCACAAAGCCATGGGGTATCTCAGGGTCTGGAAATAAGGGTCAAAGCTGGGCTATGGGCCCAGGGGACCACTCTGCGTGAAACCCCACACTGAGCTATCCCAGGAGACAAGGTCCACTGGTCCCAAGCTGTGGCCTGATGTGGTTTCCTCTGCCTTTACCCCTCGGAAGCCAGCTCTCCAGATGTGTGTCCTCCCTGCTGTTCCAGAGGCAGGGCCAAGGCAGTGTGGAGTCTGACAAGGTCCAACCAGATCAAGTCCAGGCCCTGTGAGACTGCTACTATCCCTACCAACGAGGGGTACCTGTGGCCGCCAAAGGTGGGGAGGCTGGAGGGGAGTCTGCTCAGCACACTTGCTGTCATCACTTGAGACCTGAACAAGCCAACCTCACACTCAACCAAGGCCGAGAACCCTGGCGTCTGGAGGCCTCTCCCACCCCAGCTCAAAGCCTACTCTTCCGAGAAGCCTTCTCAGAGGTAGCTGTGCCCCTGAGGCAGGCTCTTGGTCCCTGCAGACACACTGAGCCTGGCCTGGGGTCCCAGTGGGTATGTTCTCTCCTCCACCCAGAACAGGCCTCATGAGCCTCTGTCCACCCATGACAGGTGTCTGTGGACTGAGAAGAGCCCCCCTTGGTGGGAACTGCAGGGCCCTGGATAGTGAGGGGCCAGCCCAAGGGGCAGTGTGGCACTCTCTTTTCCCTCATAGGCCACCATACTCTTCTCCTGGCACCTGAACAGCAGTGATGACCCCTGCCTGGCAGAGGCAATTACGCTGTTCATCATGAAACGTCCTCCATCAGAAATGGCAGCCCAGGGACCGATGGCCCTTCCTGGTCGGGCCTTAGACTGAAGCTGGATGTGCAGTGCTAGACTGGCCCTTTTGCATGCAGTGACCCCTGTGGCCACGCTGAGCCCATCCCCCAGGCCAGCGAGAGAGGGTTCTCAGGCCTGAGGGAACACCAGCTGGCTCAGGCTTCTCATCCTGAAGCCTCTGCCCTGTCTCTGCCATGTGTCCATCCCCTGGCCTTGGCTCTCACTGTCCTTCCTTGAACAAACTGCAACAAGCCATGAGCATTCACAAGCCACCAAGGCAGGATTCTGCCTGCCACAGTGGCTGTGGAGAGGACAAGGATCACAAGAATTGGCCGCTACACCAAGGGCTCACCACCTGCCAGGCTCAGCAATGCACCTCCACAACAGCCCAAGGAAGCAGTTATGATTCCGTTTTCTTGGTGAGGAAACTGAGGCACAGAGGACTGTGTATCTTGTCTCTACAGCTAATAAGGGCAAAGCCAGGGCTCAAGGCCAGGTCTGCCTGACTCAATGCTATGTCCTCTATGATTCCTCATTTCTCCTCTGGGGTGAGGGGCTCCCAGGGTGGGGCTGAGCCTTCCCCCAGCTCTGCTATAGCTGCTAGGCAAGCGACCGCCAGCCCGCATACAAAGTGTGTCCTGTCTCACATACCAGGTGTGTAACCCCATCCCCAACTGTCCTGACACCTGAGCTGCCACCTGGCCTGGAAGACTGCTGGCCGGAAGGGTGGAGCTGAAGCTACTCAAGCAGGTCACGGAGGCAGCAGACACAGACAGGGAACTCTCTCTCCAGTGGAGGAGACCCCAGGGAGCGGCTGAGACAGGGGTTCCTCTCCTCCTCCTTGGGCCAGGAAAGACCAAAGTGACATGGCCACCATAGACTTCCTGTGGGAAAAACATCCCCTAGCACCCTCTGTGGGGGCCCTCACCAGCATTCTCTTGCGGCCACCTGTTTCGACCTGCACCTCCCCAATTTATAGTTCTCTGAGGCGTGTTAGCCCTGACGTGCTGCTTCCTTCCTCATTTATCATGGTTCCTGGCCTGAGTTTAGCAGCTCTGCCCAGGGGCACTGCTGAGATCTTAGCCCCTCAAAGTTCCTTGTACACAACTTTCTCTATAGGGAGGGGTGGCCCTGGGGCACAGGGTGGTGGCACCACTTTGGCACAAGGCACAGTCCGCTGCACATGAGGCCTCAGTGCTGCCAGCGCTGGCGGCAGGGATGAGACCCTCCGGGCGGGGCACTGGTTGGCTCCCGGGAACACAGCCCCGTTGTGTGCAGGGAGGGCAGATGTGTGCACCAGTCTCAGGCACCACACAAGGAGGCTCAGTGCTCGCACAGTGGACGTCTGTGGGCAGTGAGGGCCTTGCCACTCCTCCCAGCCACAGCAGCCAAGCCTCATCCCAGGAGAGGCCTCCCCAGCCTGCCTGGTGGGACCTCCTAGGAGGAAGTGGCTCTAGGGATGAAAGTGGACCAGCAATGGTGCTCACTGGGCACTTCTGACAAAGCCTCAAGGCAGGTCTCACTGTTCTGGGTCCCAAGGTGCTCAGCATGTCACCTTCACACCAACTCCATGGGGAGGATACGGTGCTCCCCATTTTGAAGGTGGGAAAACTGCCTGAGTTGGGGATACTGGGGGAAGCCCAGGCCCATGGCTAGGAGTTCTCTGGCAGGCAGCCCGGGGGCAGCACGGACCTGGACAGATTTAACCCCTTGAGGTTGTACAGAAAACCCAGCGCTGGGAAAGGAGGCATTAGCACCCCGTCCCCCGCCTGACTCCCAGGGAGAAGGCGCCTCTCAGACAGAGCCTGGAAGGGCTGTCATGCAGCTCTGAGAGGTGGGAGGACAAGGCAGTGTGCCTGAGGACCCAGTGACGGTGTCTGAGCTTCTGAACAGGGCAGGGAACAGTGTCTCTGGAAAAAGCAGCTGGGAGACATCCTGGGGACCTGAGGAAGGGAGCTGGGGGGACTGCACCCCTCCAGTCTGGGCAAACCTATCAAGCCCAGAGCCTCACCCCTGCTCACATTCTCCCGGGTGGCAACAGGAAAGGGCTTAACCTTCAGGAAGGGCAGTGGTAGGGGGACAAAGGTCAGGGTGCCCACAGAGGGCTGAAGGACAGAAGCACTGGTTGCCAGGGCCCAGTGCTTTGGAGATGCGCTGGGCACCGTCAGCACCACCAGGCTCACAAAAACACATCACCTGTGGCTTGGCAGGCAACCAGGTCACCATGCCCAATAACGAAGTGATCTTTACAGAGCTGAACCACACACAGGGCCTGTGCTGTCTCATTCAGTCCTCATGAGCAACCCTGCAGCAGGCAAATGAGGACAAGGAGGCTTGAGAAGGCCTCTCGCTTGCCCAAGGTCATAAATAATAAAAATGTCTACTACAGGCTTGGCACTGCCCCACCAGGTGCTATCCTGAACATGCGATCCTCATGCCACCTTGGGTGCTCAGCATAGAGGGAAACTGCACACATAGGGCCCACTGGCTCTAGAGAGGCCACAGCTGCCAACAGCACTTGTCCCTGGACCAGGACTCATAGGAGACAGCCTGGCAAACACCTCAATGGGGGCTATTTTAGGCCGGGGAGGACTGAGTGAGGTGAGTGATACTCCCGAGAGGCCCCCAGCTCTAACTCCAAATGGGAACAAACACTACCAATGAGGCCAGGCGATTATGCTGGGAGGCCCTGGTCAATGGCCACACCATCATCGCCTGGGGGACCCGCACCACCCAGGCAGTACCCTGTGGCCCTGGGCACAGGAGACCCAGGAGGCACTGGAGTTCTTTTTGTTCGCCATTTATACTCTGTCCTCTACCCCGCAACACAAGCACATCCTCCTCCCTTCCATGTCTCCAGAGCCCAAACCCACAGCTGGCAGTCAGTAAGCCTCCCTGGGTGAGTGGAAGGGTACACTCTGGGAACAAGAGTGCTGTCACATGCGAGCACTGAGCAGCTTCAAGCCACTGTCTCTTTCTCCAGCGAATAACTTAACCACTAGAATTAAATAGTAAAAGTAACTATAAACAATTTCTATTTTTAAAATCAATCCTGAAATGAAATCAGATGGAGGCCTCCTCGTGCTGTTATCACGATGCCTAACAGCGGCACTTGGCAGGGCCAAGAACATTCTTCAAAGAGCCAGAGCACAGGGAAGCTGGCAGCAGGGTGAGTTATTTTGCTTTAACATTTCCACAGAGTTGTCTGAAGGACAGAGCTCTTATTCAAACGCCTTTGCCCCCCAGAGGCCACTGCCCAGTGGGAACACAGGGTTTCTGTAGCCGAGGGGCCACACGCACAGCAGTAGAGGGGCCTGGCTGGACGGCTCTGGCTGACAGGAAGTCAGAAAAGCAATTCAACAGGCATCCTTGTCACCTGCACTCTGTCCTGCTTGGTCCTGGCTTCCGCATCATTCCACATTTACAGAACCTTTGGAGGACAGCTCACAAACCCAGGCGGAGACTCCCTCCCCAAGATGCTGGCTACAAAGTCGCAGCCAGTGCCACCTCTGCCCCAAGCATTGTGGGCGACACATGGGAGGTTGAGGAGGACTAGCTCTGTCTTGCGCCTCCACAGTGCCAGCTCTGGAAGGGATAGGCAGCCAGCCCATGTGCCCTGGTGACATCACTCCACAAACCTGTCTGCCTTATAAGCCAGGGGTCTGAGTCACCCTTGGGCAGACAGACTTACTGCAATTTCAGGATTGTGTTTATCTTAGGAAGAGTAAAAACAATCCCGCCCAAACTAAACTTTTCTCCATGGGCTCAGTCATTCCCCACAGTAGAAGCTTCACCAAGAGGGTGGCATCAAAGAAGGGAGACATACTAGTCCCCAGGCATCCATTCACTTAGGACCCTTACCGAGTAGTCCTGGCCAGGCACATGGACCCTCTGGCAACTCAGAGAGGTCAGGTTGGTGGGGAGCAAGGCCACCTTCTCCCGAGGGCCTGCTCCAAATACATATCCACCTACCC